TTACACCACATTAGGGGTTCTAGGTGCTTTTCTACTTCCATTTTCTCAGCCCTCCCATTCTCAGCCTCTTGCTTTCTTTCTAGTTTCTCTCTTCTCCCTGATATTTGCATTTTGAAGTTTATTGGATAGATGGTAGAGTTGAACTGTAATATCTGTTAGGCTGCCCAGGAAAAGGATCATGTCCATGTTATCAGGAGACTATTTGACTTTGGCCTGAGCCTGTTCTCACTCAGCAGGTCATTCCAGTAGCTCCATGTCTGTATTTGCCAGGATTTGAGAGTTTTGTAACTTTTTGAGCTGTAGCTGTAAAAAGAAAACCCAGCTATTGATCAAAATGAGTAGGACTTTACTCCTTAAGGACACAGCCAGAAGCCAGTTCTGCAGATTAGTTTCTCTGCAGTTTATAGTTGCAAATTCCACAGTTTCCTATAACCAATTAGCCTTCTGTGTCACTGGGACCTTAGAGTATTTTTAGTGTATTTATGCCCATCCTCACCTGAGCAAGTGCAGATCAGCTTCCTCTGGAGCCTTTTAATCACTCAATGGAAAGTACTGGCTGAAGGGCTTAAGGTGGATGTCACACTGAGCTTGGCTCTCCTGAGAAATGTGAGTGTGCTGAGATGTGGCAATGGAGAAGGTGCACAACAGAAAGTGAGTGTGCATGTCAGAGTAGAACTGCAGCTTCAGCTTCTGCAGAGACTTGGTGGGATTCATTCCTCAGGGAATAGGTACTCTCCATCAGGAGAGAAACTTAGTGGTGGCTTCTTCTATTATTATTCTGTTCTTCTTCTGTAGATTGCCATGGGGATTCCTCTCTACAGGATCAAGGATATCCGAGTGATGTATGGTGTTTCTCCCTGGGGAGATGGGGCTATTGATTTTGAGAACTCAGCCCATGTCCCCTGTCCCCGTGGCCACGTCATCGCTGCACGTATCACCAGTGAGAATCCTGATGAGGTGAGTGCTTTCAGCTCTGTGGCTGCTGATCACACTGTGATAACCATGGGCTTCACACCCAGGTTCAATCCCTGCTGCTGATCCTGGGAAATCTGGCAGCAAATTTAGAAGGCTTTTCCATTACCTCACTTAGCTGGTGGTTCTGTAGACTCTGGTTAGACACAGCATCAACTTTTTTACTTATATATCTTGCTGCAGCACAAAGAGGTGCTCTAACCTCCAGAATTCTAATTACTTCCCTAATTGTGGATTATTTACTTTTTCTTTAGGATGTATAGCAATGTCTGTCTGTCTTTGCAGGGATTTAAGCCCAGTTCTGGCACAGTTCAGGAACTGAATTTCCGCAGCAATAAGAATGTCTGGGGCTATTTCAGTGTTGCTGCTGCAGGAGGGCTTCATGAATTTGCTGACTCTCAGTTTGGTCACTGTTTCTCTTGGGGAGAAAATCGTGAAGAAGCCATCTCGTAAGTAGCCAGAAAAGTGGGGGAACCTTGGAAGTTGCTTGGGTTTATCCTCTGATACCAAGTGCCATAGATAAAGCAAGACTTCTCACTTCCAGGAGTTTTAAGAGAAGTTTCCCTCTCTTGACATTGTTTTCCACCTCCCAGTCAGGCTTCTCATCCTGTCTTGCCTTGCAGTTCCACTGTGTTGTGCCTACATCTCTACACTTTTTTCTTACTTCTAGGTTTTTTTTTTCTTCCCTTTCTGTTTCATTCCTGCCTTGGATGCCTGCTGCTGGGGTGTGATACAGCTGCCATTCCTAGCTACCTTGGAAAGCATTCAGGTGGAAGCTTTCTAACAGAAAAAAAACATTGATAACTTGTTATGCTAACATTTTATAGTGGTTTATAAACCATTGAGTGGCCTTGTGTGATGTGGAACATTTAAGGCATCCGGCCATAAGACAGAACTGCCTGACCTGTCATCCCTGCTGGTTTTGGGCCAGAGTCTTTCCTCTGTTCCATTCTGGGTGGGATGGAGACCACACCTGTCTGTCTTAGGTGTACTTCTGACATGTGTTAGGTGCCCAGGTGATGATAACAGTGGGAAATCCTGATCTCATAGCTGGTGCTGGCTGAGCTTCTCTTATTTGCACCAGCAGCAGATTGAAGAAAATCAGTATTCCTTCATTCCCAGGCAGGTCATAGAGGATCTTGCTCCAGTGCACACGCTCCTCTGCTATTACCTTCAGTCTGTTGCTCGTGGGGACCTATCTAGAGCTACCAGCTTGCACATTGCTGTTAATATGGGATAGAGAATAGGTATTCCTTTCTCTTCCAGGAACATGGTGGTGGCTCTGAAGGAGCTGTCCATCCGGGGGGATTTCCGGACCACTGTGGAGTACCTGATCAAGCTGCTGGAGACAGAGAGCTTCCAGCAGAACCGCATCGACACGGGCTGGCTGGACCGGCTCATCGCTGAGAAAGTGCAGGTGCAGCTCCTTGCTTTACAGGGCTCCAAACAGGGGCAGGAGGGGAGGGAGGCAGGGGGCAAGCTTGATTCGTGATGCTTCCAAGAGGACAAGGATTTCGGAGAAGTTAAGTTCCACTTTCCAAATAAACAGTTTCACTGGCCCTAATTCTTATTGATATCAAAACCCCCCAGGTCATCCCTGTCAGGGAAAGTTAAAATAGGCCAAAAAAGCATCTTGGTTTGTGGCTGAATTAAAGCTAGTATTTTGGCTTGCAGTTTGGAACAGATGATAATAGAAATGTCAAGATTCTATCCAGGAAGAAAAAAATGTGATTTTCCTTCAGGGAGTCACAGAGGTAATTGCTTCTTTATAGTGTTTCCATGGATGCCACAGCTTCTTAATTTTAAAGCAAGGTTGGCTGTGAACCAAAAATAGACCTGAGACTGTTAATTCTTCAAGTGTGTGTCCAGAGTGGACTGAGGCTAAGGGAGGTGTAATGGTGTGATGTACCCTTTCTTTCCAGGCTGAGAGGCCTGATACCATGCTGGGAGTGGTGTGTGGGGCCCTGCACGTGGCTGACGTGAGCTTCCGAAACAGTGTCTCAAATTTCCTGCACTCTCTAGAAAGGTAAAATTACAAGCTGTGCTGGCAGGTAGCTGATAAGCAGATAGTAATTAACCTTGATTTACATAAGTTTTGTTCAAGTCCAGTCCAGAAATGCACAGAGCTTGTTGGCTGCTGACTGTTCTCTGGCCCCGGGAAGCTGTCTCTGCAGTGGCTTAAGAAAACTGGCAGATATCTCTGCATCTCCCCAAAATATCCCCTGCTGTTGGCAAGATTGGTTTGGTTCCTGGCAGTTTGGGCAGAAGCTCTGAGAAATGGCTCAGAAATGTGGAGTTCTTTCTCTGTGTGCTGCTAGGGCAACACAGGGGAGTCTTGACTCACCAGATAGTGTTGTCTTCTTGTTTTGGGGATCGATTTAATTTTCCAGATTTTACATAATTTTCCAAACTGAATGTTTCCCACTAGTACTTAGAAAACCCTCTCTGCTCCTGCTGGCTTTAAAGTAGAGCAGGCACTCCAGGGAAACAATTCCCAACACTCCCATCAGGCTAAACCTGGTGTGATCCAAGCAGGCCCACTCTCTACAGGGTTGTTCTGCTCGGGGTCCTCTTGATGAGCCCATCCATGAACAGAGCTGCAGGGGGAGGAGCTGCTTTATTTGTACCATGCCACATGCCCTGTAATTCAGGCTGTGATGTTCCTTTTGCAGACAGAGGCAAAAGTAGGTGCATGGAAGGGAGAGTAAAGCTGGTCTGTGTGGCTGGAGAGAGATGGGCTGGCTGTGTCAAACTGATGTGTTGCTGCTAAGGGACACTTTAAAAGGCTACTCCTGTCTCTCTGCTCATGAGTTCCAAATTCTTGCATGCATCTTTGAACCTGCTTGAGCCCCTGATCCACCGTGTGATGGCTTCTGAAAGCCCAGTTTTGGTTTGTACTTCTCTTTCAAGGGGCCAAGTCCTGCCTGCTCATACTCTGCTGAACACTGTGGATGTGGAGCTCATCTACGAGGGACGGAAATACGTGCTGAAGGTACGGGGCACGGGGTGGAGCCTTTCCTCCTGCCACTCCTGTTGGAAACCTCTGTGTGCTGCTCTGGCGTAACCTTTGTAAGACATGTCATTATTGAAATTAAACCTGAGCAGGGTTTATCTTCTGGGCTCTAGTGGGGTTAAGAAATCAGTAGAATCTCTCCTACGATAACATCCCATCGTGTCTTTCCATTGCAATATTTCTGTGTACCTCTGTAAACATTTTAACCCTTCAGAGTCAAGAAATGCTCTGCATAGGGTGAAGAATCCTTTGGTACAGGCAAAGACTACTGCCTGTTGGTTGGCCAAAACTTTCAGTTGTTGTTTCTGAGTATATAGATCTACTCTGTTGGGTGTTTGAGCCCAGTTTTATCAGTGTGGCAGAATTTGTAGCAGTTTTTCCCTTTAGTGTTGCTTTTTATTGCAGTGTGCAAAAAGTAGAAATACTGTTAAAAGAGTGCAAAACCAAGCACAGAAAAAGTTAGGAAATATTAGACTTAAAATTGCCTGTCAATCTTAATTAACTTCTACAGACAAATTTATTATGGTGAGGTTTTTAATGACATTGTGGAGTTCTAAGTGTTCTGCACCCCTGCACCTCCATGGTTTTGTCTTGGCAGCCCTGTGATGAGAGAGGCACCAAAGAGCAGCTGAAGTGTGATTTATGTGACTTACCCAGCTTCACATAGGAACTCTGTGGCAGAGGCTGCTAGGATCCCTTTTTCCAGGGAGAGCTCTAGCTGCTTTATCTCTGGGACACTCTTTTTTTTTCTATCTCATTCATTATGCATTTTTAGTCCACCACTGTGGCTTGTACTGCCACCGGGGTGAGGAAATGGTCTGTAATGGCATAATCAAACCTCTACAATTAATGCATAAATGTGAGAGGATTAAAACAAGACTCATGGACAGCATTAATCCTGACATCTCTCAGCTTCTAAATGCTGGATTTGTGTTCCCAGTTTTTTTTTTTCTCCATCTAGCACAAGAACAAAAGGCTCTGGTCCTGTTCTTTAGTTTTTAGCTCCCACTGTGTGTGTTGTGGCAAGCAAGGCACTCTGGGTGCAGTGTTTATTTCCTGTGATTTATACCCTTCTGGTGGGCCTGCAGGTGACTCGCCAGTCTCCCAACTCCTACGTGGTCATCATGAACAGCTCCTGTGTGGAAGTGGACGTGCACCGGCTGAGTGACGGGGGGCTGCTCCTGTCCTACGATGGCAGCAGCTACACCACCTACATGAAAGAGGAAGTGGACAGGTAACAGCTTGTGAAGATTAGTGTTTAACGTTTGCTACAACTCAAAATTAGGTGTACTTGTAACTTGACAGTTCTCAAAGATCAGCTGGGAATGGAATTCTTACCTAGGAAGCAGATAGTAGCTTTGTTATGGGTGAGTTTAAAGGAGAAGGTGCTTTCACCTGAAGAACAGAGCTTGGCTACTGTTAGAGGAAAGTTCTGAACATGTATCAATGTGGGGTCCATATTCTGCTCCTGGTTCTTTATAAGCACCCTTTGACTTAAAAAACCAAAACAAACCCCAAACAAAAACCAAACCCAACCAAACAAAAAAAAACACGCCAAAATCAGCCACAGCTCCCCCAGCCCCAAAACCAGAAGATGAAAATCTTTAAAACTCCACAGCTACCTTAGAAACAGATACCAGATTTACTATTTCAGCACATTCCCTCAGAATTCCCTGCAGGGCTCATAGCCATAAGATCAGTAAATCTCCAGCTTCTGGAACGTGAACCAGTGCCCCCTCTGCTGGTCTCTGTTCTGTGACAAGTGTAACACAGGTCAGGAGTTCTAAAAGAGTTTGGGTAACTTCCTGGGTTGGAAAATGCTGTAAAATCTTTCAATGAGCTGTGTGGGTGCATCCTGCTCTTTTCAGCTTTGTTCTTTGCACAGGAGTGTTTGACATGAGGTGGGCAGTTTGGTGAATTATTGTGTGTTACGTATGGCAGGTGTAAGCTCCTCTGACATCAGTTTTGGTTGATATAAAACCTTGAACTTCGTGGGTTCTGGTTCTGACAGTGAGCTCTACCTGTTGGTAGAGAAGAGGCAGAAAAGTGACATAGATAGAACCTTGCTAAGGGCTGTTCTGTCTGACTTCTGAGCCCTGCATGCCATAGTGGTCCTGATTTGATATGATTAATCCAAACCTCCCTTGCAGGACTGTACTGTTCAGCTCAGAAGAGCTGGTTGAGGTGGTTTGGGTCAGTTTTGTTTTGAAGTAGAATCGGGAAAGGAGAATGGCTTTTCCTCCTTTCCACACCTTCCAGAAGAAATCCTCTTGCAGTGATTTGTCCCACTCTCTCCCAGGTATCGCATCACCATAGGGAACAAGACCTGTGTGTTTGAGAAGGAGAACGACCCCTCCATCCTGCGCTCGCCTTCCGCGGGGAAGCTCATCCAGTATGTGGTGGAGGATGGGGGACACGTGTTTGCAGGGCAGTGCTTTGCAGAAATAGAGGTAAAAGAGTCTCAGAGAACTGACTTGGCTACAAATGCTGAATCTGCCCAGGCAACAGCCGGGGTGGAGGGAAAAAAAATGAATGCTTTGGGACTGGGAATTGAGCGTGAGGGATGATTCACAGCATTCCCTTCCCAGATTTTGTCAGTGCTTTAAGCTGGAGGAATGCAGGAATCACAGTGAGAGTGGTGGGGTGGGGAAGAAATTACTTAACAGCTGAAATCTGAGTGTTGATGACTGTATACCAAGTGATAAGCAGGATTTCTCAGCAGTCAGACACCGTGGTTGTCATCTTGCTGTGATACCAAGCCAGGGGATAGTGGGGTCCATGTGTATGGTGTTTCTAGCTGTGGTGAAGAAGGTCTTCTACTTACAGACCACTACTTAATACCAACATGGACTCAGAAGCAGAGTTATATGCCAGTATTTAATAAGAGATTAAAACGTCTCTGACTACCTGGTCATTTATCAAGTTGATTGGATGAGTTAATAAGTATCACTCTTCTCCCTTGGAAGTTACTTAACTCTTAGAGAGGAGGAGGATGAACAATTTCTGCAGCACTGTGAGGAAAGCAGGAGAGATTGTGTAGGAGGGCATGGCTCAAGACCTATCTGAGACGGGGGAGGGTGTGTGTTGACAGAATAGCAATTAAACCAGTTGGGGACATTGTGTAGGAGAAAAATATCAAGCCAGAGATCCAGGTATTTTATGTAAGTGCTTTTACGCTGCAACAGAGCCATGGCTAAGAGGGAGACACCTACTTGAGTCCTGTGTTCCCAGCTGTGGTGTGTAGCACAGCAGTGGTTAAACTAACCTGTCCCCCTCCATACCCAACCCTTGCTTCAGAGGCAGGAGCTGCCATGGTTGATCTAAGGAAGCATGTCTGTTTGTGGGGAGTGGTCTCTGGAGACCTGTGGCCTCTAAAAAGTAATCCTAGTTCCCTTTGCTAAAAGAGAATGTGTTGCTCTAGTCTTTGGGTGGCTTGCCCACTTCTAGCCTTCAGAGTGCAGTAGCAGTAGATTGTACCTGCTGTGTTCATTGTGTTGAAAGTCTTGAGTAGCTCTTGGTCCAAGCAGTGTGGAACAGGTGACCTTCCTGAGGATGGCTCCCTGCTGTGCTGCTTTGTGGCCAATTGTTTTGTTCAACCATTCACTTCAGTGTGAGCTTTCATTTCTAACGTGTACTTTTAAGCCTTGAGAAAGGCTGAGCACAAAGGGTGCTGGTGCAGGTTAGTTCAGCTGTGGTAGGCCAGTGGCTGCTGGCTCACGAAACCAGAACCATTTGAGGAAGGTGGAAGCTGAGTGTGTAACCTGTTTTCCTTGCTACAGGTGATGAAAATGGTGATGACACTAACAGCAGGAGAATCAGGCTGCATCCATTATGTCAAACGCCCAGGGGCTGTCTTGGATCCAGGCTGTGTGATTGCCAAGCTGCAGCTGGATGATCCCAGCAGGGGTCAGCCG